CTCCCGTGTTTTTTCCCCATTTCCAGGAGCAGATGAAGGCCAAGCGCAAGGAGGCCGAGCTGCGCCAGGTGCAGTCCCAGGCCCACGGGCTCCAAATGCGCCTCAAATATTCCCAAAGTGACCTGGAGCAGACCAAGACCCGGCACCTGGCCCTCAACCTGCAGGTGGGACCAAATCTGGGGTGAAAAACATGAATTTTGGGAAAAAAAAAAAAAAAGAGAAAAAAAATCTGATTTTTGGGGGGAAAAATGGGATTTTTCGGGAAAAAAATCTGATTTTTTGGAGGAAAAATGTGAATTTTGGGAAGAAAAAAAAGTGAATTTTGAGGAAAAATTAGGAATTCTGGGGGGAAAAATGGAATTTTTGGGGAAAATGGGAATTTTGAGGAAAAAATGTTGATTTTTTGGGAAAAAATGGGAATTTTTGGGAAAATACTCCCATCAAATATTCCCCAAGTGACCTGGAGCAGAGCAACACCCGGCACCGGGCCCTCAACCTGCAGGTGGGACCAAATCTGGGGTGAAAAACATGAATTTTGGGGAAAAAAAAAAAAAGAGAAAAAAAATCTGATTTTTTGGGGGAAAAATGGAATTTTTCGGGAAAAAAATCTGATTTTTTGGAGGAAAAATGTGAATTTTGGGAAGAAAAAAATGTGAATTTTGAGGAAAAATTAGGAATTCTGGGGGGAAAAATGGAATTTTTGGGGAAAATGGGAATTTTGGGGGAAAAATCGGGAATTTTGGGGAAAAAATGTTGATTTTTTGGGAAAAAATGGGAATTTTTGGGAAAATACCCCCATCATATATTCCCGAAGTGACTTGGAGCAGACCAAGACCCGGCACCTGGCCCTCAACCTGCAGGTGGGACCAAATTTGGGGTGAAAAACATGAATTTTGGGGAAAAAATTAAATTTTGAGAAAAAAAAATATTATTTTTTGGGGAAAAAAAGGGATTTTGGGGGGGGGAAATGGGATTTTTGGGAGTTAAAATGTGATCTTTTTGGATAAAAACGTGAATTTTACAAGGAAAATGGAATTTTTTTGGGGAAAAAAATGTGAATTTGGGGAATAACTAGATTTTTTCCCCCCAATTTTCCCCATTTTTTTCCCTTTTTTCCCCGTTTTTTCCTTTTTTCCCAATTTTTAACATTTTTCCCTTTTTTTCCCATTTTTCCCCCCAAATTTTCCAGGAGAAGTCCAAGCTGGAGTTGCCAATTTTGATCCCATTTTCCCCATTTTTTCCAGCATTTTCCCCCAATTTTCCCCATTTTTTTTCCATTTTTTCCTATTTTTTCCCTTTTTTCCTATTTTTTCCCCTTTTTTCCCAATTTTGAACATTTTTTCCCTTTTTTTCCTTTTTTTCCCCAAATTTTTCCAGGACAAGTCCAAGCTGGAGTCGCCAATTTTGATCCCATTTTCCCCATTTTTTTCCCCATTTTCCCCATTTTTTTCCATTTTTTTCCCTTTTTTTTTCCATTTTTTCCTGTTTGTTCCCCTTTTGTCCCAATTTTTAACATTTTTACCATTTTTTCCCTTTTTTTCCCCAAATTTTCCAGGAGAAGTCCAAGCTGGAGAGCGAACTGGCCAATTTTGGGCCGCGCATCAACGACATCAAACGGATCATCCAAGGCCGGGAGCGGGAGATGAAGGATTTGAAGGAGAAAATGAACCAGGTTTGGGGCAAATTCCAGAGGTTTTGGGAAAATTCCCAAAAATTTTGGGGAAAATACAAAAAAATTTGGGAAAAAACCCTAAAATTTGGGAAAATTCACAAAAACTTGGGAAAA